AAAAAAAAAAAAAAAAAAAGTAGAAAGGACAGCCCTAGAGGCCTGGCTCAGTGGTTGGAGCATCGGCCTGGGGACTGAGGGGTCCAGGGTTCAATTCCGGCCAGGGGCACGTGCCTCGGTTGCAGGCTTAACCCTCGGCCCCGGTCTGGGCCTGCTGTGGGGGGCAACCAATTGCTGTGTCTCTCTCACATCTCTCTCTCTCTCTCTCTTCCGCTCTCTCTGAAAAGCAATGGAAAAAATATCCTCGGGGGAGGATTAAAAAAAATACAAATAGCATCCGACACAACAATAGCCACCCGGTGTGAACCAATCAAAATTACACCTATTTTTTTGGTCAGATTGGCAAAAAATATGTATTTTTTGATGTGCTGCAGAATTTTAGTAATTAGCTTATGTGTGTTATGAGATGAAAAAGGTTGAAAATCGCTGGCTTAAGTATTTCTCTTGCTATTTCTGTGTGTTGAACCTGAGCACGGCTGGGGATTGATCTGCCACCGCTGCCACCGAGCTTTGCTGTCTCAGCAACACGCCTGCGATGAGGCTGGCTGGCTGGCTGGACAGTGCGCCCATCCTGCCTGCTGAGCCAGTTTTCCCGGGCCCAGAAGCAAGCAGGTCCCTCTCCAGCAGGGTTACTGACCGGCAGAGGGACTCAGGCACAGATGTTAAAGCAGCACATCCCCTCTGCTGCGTCTTCCTGTGTTTCTGTCAACAGGAAATCCCCTGCAGGACAACCTCTGGGAATCCATGGGAAGCCTTTTACATTTATAAAACCTGGGTTGTTTCTGAGGCCTCACGGGTAGACCAGGGAACAGGAAATCCCTAAGGGATATTTAGTGTGGAACTGGGAATGTCCAGGTCACTAGGGAGCCACTTGGGTCACCTCCCACATGCCAGGTGTCATTCCTGCCTCTGTCCCAGTGTGCTCCCAGCATGACCCACTTTTCCTCTTGCTAGTGGCTGCAGGAGTGGGGAGAGGATGCCTTCACTGTGAGATAAGCCAAGGGGCTGAGGGAACAGACAGCCCAAATGGAGCCTGATGGAACTTCCATGTGGAAACTGAGCAATGGGAGGGTTAGTTTCCATTTGAAAGTACCTTTCTTAAACAGAAGAAACTCAGGATTTCACAAACCTTAATTGTGCTCTGAAATGTTTTTTATTATTATACAAACTCATAAAAAATATTCAAACTCACAAAGACATAAAAAATATTCAAAAGCCATAAAGAAAGAAAAAATTACCCCACCACAGAGAGATATACACTGTTAATATTTTTGTATATATCCTTGCAGCCATTTATTTCACAAATGTAAAAAGCTTTGCATGATTTTCCAAAGGTTGTCTTATTATTTTATACTTATATATAAATATATGTATTGTGTATTACTTATTAAAATTATGTCAAATTATATATACTGTTTTATAACCATTTTTTTCATTTAGCAATATGTTGTGAACTTATTTTCAGGTGAATACATAAAAATGTATTTTTACTGGCTATGTGGTATTTCTATTGTAAGGATATACCATAAGTTATTTAATCCCCTACTGATGGGACACTAAAGGAAATTATTTCTATTAAAGAATGCTATGTCTTTGTCTTTGTCTAATGATTTCATTGGAATAAATTCTTCAAAGTGGACTGAGGCTATGCACATTTTAAATTTTTCATTTTTTTTTAGAATGAGTGTGTTCCCCACGTTAGCTATAGAGGACAGGAACCAGAGTGAGGCTGGCCATGCAAGTTCATTACTTTTTCCCCCCATGGTCCTGGGAGTAAGAGCATAGTAGAGTAGGGGATTTGGTCAGTGCTGGATTTTCCTGGATAAGTCATTGTCTAAAAGTTGATTGGCTCTGAGCTATCTAGCTTCAACTGCTGAAAATGATGAAAGAAGGTGAGGTTAGGGCAGACACTCAGCATTCCCGTCCATCATGCTTGCTAACCTCTGCTATCAGCAGCCTCTACATTAGCACTGACGGCCAGGGTCTTGCTAGCCAATCTGCCCCAATTTTTTTTTTTACTCTTAGACTGACTTTCCAGGGTAGACTGGGCCATGGGGCTTGGGCAAGTGAGTAACTGACCAAACTAGCTGGCCTGCAGCTCCCCATGGAAACACAACGATCACCACTTAAACACCCTGGTAACCTCAGCCCTGACATGCAGAATTCTTTCCAAAATGGGTCACTCACCATATCTTCAGGGTCTGGGATTTTCACCCCACTGAAGTACTGATTGGTGCTAAATACTTGCTGGTGCCTAGGAATGAGATCTCCTTTGGAGAAAAAGGAAGGTAAAGTGAGCTGGGTGAGCAAGCACTGACCTGTGATTTCCGTCGCTGGTGCTGTGCCTGTCTGCCTACACCTACCGAGGCTGCAGTGCACAGTCCCACTCGGGGAGAGGCCTCGAGGCAGCCTCGACAGCCTGTACTGAGACCCGCAGGGCGCCGAGTGCCAAGCTCTGTTAGGCACGAAGGAGGAGTGCACAGAAACGGAAGGCTCCAAGGCTCTTGCCCCTCAAGGCTCAGAGTGTATTCAAGGACTCCAAACCAAACAACTCAGAAGCACACACACAAATCAAAGAACATCCCCCTTTTTAAACAGCAAAAGTGCAACAACGATAAATCAAAATCATGTTAACTGAATCCTAATGGGTTAAGATAAAAGTGTATTAGCCCAACAGAACAGTGCCTGACACACAGCGAGCACTCAATAAATATTTGAGGAAGGAAGGGAGGGAATAAAAAGGGAAGGAAGGAAGGGAGGAAGAAAAGGAGGGGAACAATGGAAGATGGAGCCAAAAAGAATACATTTCTAAACTGGAACCAACTTTCCTTGTTTCACCAAGTAGCTATCACCTGAAAATCCCATTTTCTCTACTGTTTAGAAGCACTTACGATGTGAAGCAATGAAACAAAAGGAGCATTTCTATATTCTGGGGATTGTGTGAGGCTCATTCTACCCACATTTCAGCCAAATCAGCTGAAATCGCCCTCACATAAAATTCTAAGGATAGTACACTCGAAGAGGAATTTTGTTTAGAGAACACAAGGAGATGCTCAGAAAGGGCATCCCTGAGGCACACCCAGGCCCACTTCCCAGAGCAGAGTGGACAAAACCCCTCCAAACCAGGACCCAGAAATGCTGCTATTGAACTGTGCTGGAGTTCCTACCCCAGGGTGTCAAGTTGTCTAATTTTACCAATTTGGTTTGGAACTTTACCTCTCACTCAAATCCAAAAGCTGCTGTCCAACCGCTATTTTGGATGAGCAGCCAAAATATACTCTGTAATGCCTTGCCTGAGACCTCAGAGAGCTTCCTTCATCATGATCGCAGTGCCTGGACCTTAATAACCGTCTTCCATCAGAGCTTGGGTGGGGGTGGGGAGTGGCATGGAGAGGGTGTCCTAAAATCACCAGGGGAAGCAGAGCACAGGAAGGCTGAGTGCCCCTGGCAGGGCTCCCAGGTCCCTTACACGTCCTCAACGAAAGCCACCAGTAAATATTTACTGCCTACTCTGTGTAGACGTTGATGGACAGAATGAAATAAAAGACGTGATCTCACCCTCAGGCAGCTTACAGCACATTTGGGGAGGTAAAAGGACAGGACATGATGGCAGGTGCTACAAGAGGGTAGGAGAGGACAAGTGGCCTTTAAATTGGGACACTCGGGGAGCCGTAGCTAAACTCCCTGACTTTTGAAGAGGACAATCACTGCCTCCAGGTCTTTTCACCCGCCCCTCTCCTGCCCTCTCTCCTCCTCCCCTCGCCTCCTCCACCCCAAGAGTAGAAAGAACGGAAGGGGGCTGGGGTGGGAAAGCAAGGCGAGAAGAGTCACATTAGAAGAATGACTTTCTTCCTGACACACAGAAGGCTGAGAACCTTTCTCTATAGCATCAGAATAATCCACACCAGCCTGGCAGGCTGGAGTCCCAGACAACCCATGAATGAACTGCCCCATCGTCCTAAAGGAAATGAAACCCACCAGCATTCCGTAAACTGCTAGGCCCTTAGAGAAATCTATGTTGTTGTTGTTGCTATGATCACTGTTCAGAGTTTAACTTGATCCAAACTATGCGAAGAGAGAACCGTGTCTTTTTGGACAATTAGTACATACTCAAAATTGTGGATTCTTTCCATTAAAACAAATGTGGATACATTTAATGGAGTCATTTAAATGAGACGTTGAGAGTGTCCCTCCTTCGTAACAGTAAAGGGCGTTAGGTGAGACTAGGAACTTGGCTCTACCCTGCACTGCTTGGGTAAATCTACCCAGCTTCCCAAAAGGTGGGACAGAGGCACCACTTACCTAAGGTTTTTCTGATCAGATAGAGCTGATCCACGTCTGATTTTCCTGGCCACAGAGGCAGCCCTGATAGCAGCTCAGCAAAGACACAGCCAATTGCCCAAACATCTACTGGGGGGCCATACTGCGTGTCCCCGACCAACAGCTCTGGGGAGCGGTACCACCTGGTAGCCACGTAGTCGGTGTAGTAGTCACTTGGTCCAGCTGGCCAGGGATGAGACGTGAGAAACAGAGCAGTCGAAACAAGGACTCAAAACCGCGAGGGGGAAGACCTAAGACATCCAGCTTGTGCCCCATCGTGTGGCTTTTCTAAATCAGTGCTTCTCCATACTACTTGCACATTAAAATCCATTGGAATACAGAATTTTTAAAATTACTGACGCTTGGGCCCCACCCACNCTGGCCAGGGATGAGACGTGGGAAACAGAGAGAGCAGTCGAAACAAGGACTCAAAACCGCGAGGGGGAAGACCTAAGACATCCAGCTTGTGCCCCATCGTGTGGCTTTTCTAAATCAGTGCTTCTCCATACTACTTGCACATTAAAATCCATTGGAATACAGAATTTTTAAAATTACTGACGCTTGGGCNAGAAACAGAGCAGTCGAAACAAGGACTCAAAACCGCGAGGGGGAAGACCTAAGACATCCAGCTTGTGCCCCATCGTGTGGCTTTTCTAAATCAGTGCTTCTCCATACTACTTGCACATTAAAATCCATTGGAATACAGAATTTTTAAAATTACTGACGCTTGGGCCCCACCCACGTCTGATTAAACCACAATCCCTGGGCGGGAGAATCAGTATAGTTTTCACAGTTACAGTTCCCCATGTGGTTTAAACCTGCAGCCAAACTTAAAAACCACTCTTCTAAAATATTACTTTTCAGAAGTACTGTTTTAGCAAAAAATGGTAGAAACCAGGAGGGTAACATACTTTTTAATAACCTCTTCGCTGTGGTATAATTTACATATAGCAAACATTTTAAACCACTGTATGTATCGACATGTTTTCAGTAATTACATCTTTGTAATTTATAGCAAGCTTAGGCCCTAAACATCCAGGAACTAGCTTTCCATAGCATTTAGATCCTTTATTATATAAAGAATCTTTTCATCTTTCATACTTAAGAGAAACTTCATACTCACTCAAAAGCCGAGCAAATCCGAAGTCACAAAGCTTAATCACTGAATGTTTTGTGATGAGGATGTTTTCTGGCTTCACGTCTCTATGTATGCACTAGTCACAAAAATCGAACCAAAACAGATCATTAAAGAGCAATTATAATATGTGGGATAAATAGGACACACAAATAACTAGTAAATAATTGAGAAATTATTTGAATCTCTCACTGGCCTTTTGGATAATAGGCTGCAAAATACCCAAATTTGCAAAACAGCAGCATGAAATAAATCTCATACATTACCTATCATGGCCTGAGTCATTCCAAATTCCTGAAGGGCCCCAAAGGCCCAACAAGGATACCCAGGTAAATTTAAATTTTAGTTAAAAAATTATTTAAAAAAAAAATTGTTTAGTATGTCTCATGTAGTGTTGGGCATGTATTTAATCTGGCAACCCCAGATGAAAGGGAAATGTCAAAAGGCTCTGGACGAGGCCTCCGCCACCATGGCTGGAGCTGCAAGTTGGTGCCTAAGCAGGATTCACAATTCAGTTGTTTAACAACAGAACACAGTCGCCTGGTAAACAGGACAAGCCCTGGGCCTGCTGAGATAAGCTGGGGAAGAGAAGGGCGGGAACCGAGTTGCTGAGAGACCTCCCTTCCAGCTCTGACATTTGTCCTGACGAGATAAACAAGAGCAGGCTGTGCTCACCCTCTGGAGAGTGTCGCTAGATGTCAGCTCCGTCCCACACACAAGTGTTCTTAGAGCTGCATCCCCGCCACAGTTTAGACTCAAATCACCTGTGGTTCCCAAACCACAGCTGTGTGGTTCCCAAACATTCTTCTAACAGGGAGATGTTAGAAGAATGTTTAAGAATCTTCACATGATTTTCTTATTAAATAATTTTCTTGGCAAAGAACAAATCAACAACCTGATTAACAATTACATAAAAACAGCTGGGTTAAAATACTTCTCAGGGTTCCTAATAACTTTCCCCTCTTCCAAGCCTTTTCCTCTCTGGGGAAGAATGCTGGATCCTTCTGCAATGAGAGACCCCCTCTGGCTCGCAGCTGAAACCCTGGGGCATTCTTGACTTTCTAGAATTTGGAAAGAGGGCCCTGCCTAGTACTCACTCCAAAAGACCTTTGGGGTGAGAGGTCAGTGTCAGTGTTTCCCCAAAGGGTATTCATTACTCCGGAAAAAATCTCAGGAGACAATTTCTGAATTATTTTATTACAATCTATCTGGTTCTCAGCAATTAATGGCCCTGAGATCTCTCCCCTCTTTTACCACTGGCTTCACATGTTACTATAAATGGGTAAGACCGTGGATATCATGGTGACAAATGGTCAGCAGTACTTGTAAGCAAGAATGTGCTCCTACTCTGTTCTGGGAATTCTTTACAAGTTTCTACACCCTCCCCCATCAGCACATGTGGCCAAACAGAGTGGTCAGGGGCTCTCCAGGGAGCTGTGGTATGCATTTGTCTTTAGTGTCTCTGATTTTCCTCACAAGGGCCTGTATGTAGTTTCTCTTGTTCCCCTATCCTGAGACTTACTCTCAGGAAGGCACTAACCCTCACTCCCAGAAAAGAGCAATATAAGGCGTCCATGCTCCCTGCTCTGCATGCATTCTGACAAGGACTGTAGCCTTCAGTGAGGTGGAGACTCAGTGGAAGAAGTGCTGACTACTGTCATATTTCCTGCTTCTGGGAAGGCAAAGTCGGGAAAAATCATGTAGGACAGCTTAAAAACGAGGATTCAGTCCCACCAGCTAAACTGACCCTGGCGGCCGGTAGATGGACATATTGCAGTCAGACTGCCCTTGTGGCCAAAATGAAGCTCTAATACCGGAATCTGGCTTCTGTGTGCAGGGAGTGGGCAGTGTTGTGTTCAAGGGGGCAGCAGGGTTCTCAGCATCTGTGAAGTCACACCAGCTGGGGCCACTGCCTCTGCCAGGCCTTGCTGTGGCCGGGAGTGTCACAGGCTTCCACTGGCACTCGTATCTCAGCAAAGCAGGTGCTACCATTTGGGCGTCCTGCTTGGCACTCCACCTACTGCCACTGAACAGGCATGAGTCACATGGGGTTCCCCTCCCCAATTTCAGAGCCTTTGGAGGGTAGCAGACCTATACAAACTCCAAGTGGATGGGATGCCACCTTAAATCTGCATAGCTTCTGATAAGTGTAAATCATAAAAATACATCTTTTATGTGACCTGAACAAGAAGAAATAGTTAGGTTGGCATTTTTAACTTCCATTTACTCCAACCAGGCTTAAGAAGATTTGGATAAAAAATTATACCCACAAAAGCATGATATAAACTTTGAACAAAGGCTCCACCTCAGGTCAAGGGCAGCCTTCTGATTTTTTTTTAACGGAGATCATAAGACTTACATTGTGTTTATGGCAAAAATTTACAGCTTGCAGTGTCTGCCAAGTTATGCTCTTCACGAGATGTTCTGGTACCCTAGTGAAAGTAAAGAAGCAACACAAACACATTCTTTAGTGTAGCCATGGAATTCAGCTCAAAAAATAAAAATAAAAAAGTAAACTAAGACAGACTTTCATAGTGGAAAATCCTCGGTGGCACGTAGAGTCATCTAACTCATTGAGATGGCATTCCACAGGTCCAAAAGAACATGTGACCCGCACACTGCTGAGCTCAAGGGACAGCAAGCTCACAACAATACAATCATCTGCTTCTACAGGGAGGGACCGTGAGGACCCACTGGGACTTCACCGACCTTAATATCTGTGACACCCCTGGGAACCTGCCTGCTAGCTTGAGCTCCATTTCTATAAGAAGTTTTTTGTTGCTGGAAAGTTAGTTAATATACAGCATAAAATATGTTGTTTGTTTTTTCAAGTTGCCCCAAACTAATGGCCTTGCAGCAGAACTTATCGTCTATGTGTGGTTTCTCCAGGCTCCCTAGGCAGAATTTTTTTTTTTAAGGTAATGAAGATTTTGCTGAAGACAGGGAAGAGGTTTACATTGTACATCATGTAACAAAAGTTAACAACAATTAAAAACTCACATAGACAGCTTGGTTCTTTCCCCACTGCTCCCCCCGGTAGCTGACTGCATCCCCCCCTCATCTTTCCGCATCTAAACTTGATGTCACATTCCCAGCACTTCTTCCCTGACTTTAAACTTATAATTGGGCAGCCAGTAGTCCCAGCAGCTCCTCTGTGCAAATCAGAATAAAGCACCTCCTGGGGGAGAATTTGTTTTCATTCGGCAGTGAGTGAAATGGGCTACAGAAAGTGTATGTTTATTTTCAGAGGTCCCCATCCCCAGCTGGACCTAGTGTTCTTGCGAATCAAACATTAAACAACGTTGTTGTGCTCCTCGGGCAGAAGGAAGAACCAAGCTGGGGAGGAAACTCTTGAATAGTTGTGTTGCGGTGACCAAAAAAAGGGCACTTCCAGCCTCTGCGAGGAGCTGCAAGGTCACTGTTGTCACAGAGCAGATGTTTAGGAAATCCTTTCGGGCAGATAAGAGGATGCTTCGACAGTGGGACGTGGAAGAGGCCACGTCCAGGAAGACTAGCGGGGACATTCCACACCAGAACTATGTCCCTGGGCTTCAAGCAGCTTCTCTCCAGTTTCTCTTCCTTATTCTAGGGGCACAGGTGCTAGAAAAATGCCCCTGTCTAGAAAAATACAACTAAGAAGGGAACATTTCAGGGGAAAAGCTTTCCTTCAGCCTCCAATTTTTGGCCAGAAAAATGGATATATTTTGATTATTTATTGAATTAACTATTAATAGAAGGTTATCAATCCCAGGCAACTTTAGTCTCTAAGAATGTTTCCCGAAAGAAATTATTTAAAAGGAGCATTTACAACTAAGTTATAATAGCATATCATTAATGTTCCTCTAAGGCTGAGGAACATTACACAATTCCCAAGTGTGAAAGCTCTGTACAATCTACCTCGTGTTGTTCTGGGTTCGCTACTCATTTCACTTTTTTAGTACTCCATTTCTTTTCTTGTCTTTTTTTTTTTTTTAAATATATCTTTATTGATTTCAGAGAGAGGAAGGGAGAAGGAGAGAGAGAGAGAGAAACATCAATGATGAGAGAGTCATTGATTGGCTGCAGCCTGCAACCCGGGCATGTGCCCTGACCAGGAATCGAACCCCGATCTCTTGGATCCTAGGTCGATGCTCAACCGCTGAGCCACGCCCGGCTGGGCTCTTTTCTTTTTCTTAGTTGATTTTTTTAGAGAGAGAGGAAAGGAGATGGAGAGAGAGAGAAACATCAATGTGAGAGAGAAACATCGATCGGTTGCATCCCATATGTGCCCTGCCTAGGACTCAAACCTGCAACTTTTGGTGTATGGGACTGTGCTCCAACCACCTGAGCCGCCCGGCCGGGGCAATCCCTAAGGTTCTTGTTAGCTGCTGATGACAGGAGCCAGGTTTTTCACTGCCTGAGAGGGGAGTAGCAAACATGGAAAGGGAGGAAAGTGGGATCTATTCTGTGGTGCTGGACTGGAACTGGAGGCACACACATGCACAGAGGTGCTGCGCTGGAAGGGCTGCTGTTTCACACAGTGTTCCAGGGAGCTTCTCTCCGTCACTGCATCAGCCACAGCGGTTCAGTGATGGGACCAGACTTAGGCTATGTTTTAAAAATGGTCTTCAGGATTTTCTGGGGGACTGGATGTGAGGAAAGGAGAGAAAACAGGGAGCCCGGCCAGGCGTGGCTCAGCGGTTGAGCATCAACCTAGGATCCAGGCGATTGGGGTTCGATTCCCAATCAGGGCACATGCCCGGGTTGTGGGCTCGATCAATGACTCTCTCATCATTGATGTTTCTATCTCTGTCTCCCTCTCCCTTCCTCTCTCTGAAATCAATAAAAAA